GCTGCCGCGTCCCCGGATAAGGGGACGGAACCGGAGTCCAGAAGACACCGACGCCGAGTTAAGCGCAGGGTTCAGGCTGCGTCTCCCCTTTCCACCCTGCTTTTCCCCTTCCCCATTCCCGTTTCTGTGGTCTCCACTGGATAATACCTCAGTGGAGGACGCCCCCTCGCCAGCGGCCTTCCTCCTCCCCCGACCCGCTGGGCCTCGCCCGCTGCCGGGCCTCCATCTGGGGCAAAGGTCCTGAGGCTTCGCCCAGAATTCCCAGCTCGCAGGACCTGAGGACAGAGCGAGGCCAGGCCCCGAGGCTGCCGTGAAACTGGGGTCCAGCCCTGCCTCCCTCCCTCTCTGGGGTGCTCAGCCACACCAGTCTCCAGCGGAGATCTCAGACCATAAGGGCACCCGCTTCCCTCCCCCCGCTGAGGCTTGGGGGAAAGCCCACGAGGGGGTGGGCCTGGGCGGAGGGGTCCCGGCGGCCCTGCACCCTGAAACAGCCAAGAGGGAGGCGCCGTCCTGCAGCAGCGAGGCGGAGGAACAGGCCAGACCCGGGAGCAGCACTCAGGGCGACCACCTCGGACACCCGGTCACTCCTGCGGCCGGCCCTGACCGGCCTGCCAGGGCCCTGTCGGCCTGCTGCAGCCCTGGGCAAACGCTCCCTCCCACCCGCCACCGGTGACTTCGAGCCAAGAAGCAGGAGCTCTTAGGACAGATTCGGGGGCTCCCAGGACCTCAGGGAGGGTGGCCTGCTGGGGCCAGGCGCTTCCAGTGTATCCTCGTGGCTGCAGGACGCTGCCCAGCCCAAGGCCCCCCCCACCACCACCGGACGTTCTGGACAGACCTCGGCCAGTGCAGGCGGCCCCGGCCTGAAGGGCTGTGGTGGCTCCTAGCGCGTCAGCACCCCGGGGCCCCGGCACGGCCTGAGGCGCGCAGAAGGGGGTGGGCACGGGGCGGGCGAACAAGCACCGGCCCCCCGTGTCTGGGGCCCCCAGGATCGGGTTAGAGTTTGTGAGGTCGGAGCTAGGAGCGGAGAAGGGCGCGGGCCGGGGTCCAGGCCTCCGGCACGCGCAGGTGGGCGGGGCGTGGGAAGGTGCCTTCTGCCGAGGCAGGAAGCCGGGGGGCTTGGGAGGCCTGGGCACGCGTGGGTCAGCCAGGCGGGAGCCCCGGAGCCCCGGAAATGCGGCTCTGGACGCGAGCAAAAGACGGACCCGGGAGACTCTGCAAGTCGCCACTTGGTAAATTCTGAGCAGAGGGATATATGAGATCACCCGGAGGGGAGAGGGAGGGGCCACTGGGGGAGCCCCAACTTTGGCCAGGAGCTGGCAGCCCCGGGAGCTGGCAGACACGTGAGGCGGTGGCTGGGTGGAGGCAGCCGGGTCCCAGACAGCAGGCGTCCTCTCTGCACAGGGGCCGCTGCCGTCCCCCACTGCTCCCTGGCCCGGTGTCCGGTCCTCCGGCCATCCCTTAGAGCCAAGGGTCGTCTCCACTCAGCCCTAGCAGACTTTCACAGGTGCTTTGGGCGGGACTGGAGGAGCCGGGCGCGGGACCCCAGGACCCCCATGCTTCGTGAACCCCCTTCAGCAAGAGGCCCGGCCCGGCTGGGCCAGCAGATGGACGTGAGGTTAGAGGGGCTTGTGGAACAGAGCAGAGACGGACACTGGTTCTCTCCTCTCCCCCCGGGAGGGGTGTTCTTTCTGGAGGCAAGTGACTGAGGCTGGGCCTCAGCGTGGGGCGAGTGCAGAGCCCCCCAGAAACGCCTGGGTTCGGCTGCTGCCTCTCCAGAGAAACACCCGGAGGGATCTGTGCTCCGGTCACAACCGTCAGGGCCCCGCAGCACGGCCAGCCCCCCACGCCCACCCTGCCCCGAGCTGTGGGGGTGCAGGGGGAACCGGGCCCCTCTGGAGACCCTGGCCTGAGGGTCAGCAAAGCAGTCAGAGGTTTCGACCTCAAATATTTTTTAATAAATAGACAAAATCCACTAGACAGAGCCAGCCCACTACGGTCAGGGAGGGGACGCCTGGGGCGCTCCCGAGGCAGTGGCGGGGAGTCCTTCCCCACCCTCTAGACTAAGGCACTTTCGGGGACACAGGTCCTTGGGGTCCTGCCACGCAGGGAGAAGGGGTGAGGGTCCCTCTCCCCACCTTTGCCTCAGGACACAGCTGCCCTTCTCCACCTGCCTGCCGACCGCCCCGTCCCTGATTTACCCCCTCTGGTCTCGCGCATCCTGGGGGAGACTCCTGGGGGGTCGTCGTGGGGGAGAGTCTGTGCCCCTGAGGAAAGAACCTGCCAGCTCCTGGAGGCGCGGCAGCGACC